CAGGCGAGGGAGCCAAGCGACCGAGCGGGGGGAGGGTGCGGGAGGGGGTGTTCACTGTTCACGCTCCCGCACGATGGAGATTTTGCAATTATTACACTAAAATAGAGCGACCTGAGGTGAAATTCTTGCAAATTTAAAAACCCCCCCTGGCTACGGGCCTGGCCTGTAATACATGTATGATGTATCACTAATCTATAACTACAACTACAATTAAGGTCCTCCTCATTACGAAATCAGGAGTAGACAGGGATTTCGAGCTACACTCGCGGAAACGCAACTATAGAAACAGAAACGTGTTCTCAAATGTAAAACTATTAAACATATAACGTCTTTGGAACTTTTTATATAGGTATAGGCCTCTACAAATGCAAGTCACTCTCGCACGCACGTTTTTAGCCTAACCCAATAAATTGTGTCCTAAAATTTATTGGTTTAGCACCTTATGTACAGTCAATATAGCTAACTTGCAGGTTTTAACATGCTGGTTCCAGCATCTGTAATGTTCAATCGAACAACCATGTTCTGCACAAGTGTTTTTTATTAATCTATTCTTAATTTTCTAGCGGTAATTGTATTGCTATTCTGTATACGTACGGTATACGTATTGTCATCACTAGATCGGTATGGAGAAATAACACAGAATTAACGAGAGTGGAGGTCGAGTCAATTCTGACAGATCGGGGAGTGATATAACAATAATCAAGTAGGCGCAAATCTACTTTAGGCACCTTAGGTATCACGAAGTGATGCACAGATTTCTGTGTATCATCAACTGATGCACAGACTTTCCGTATATCAAGGAATGATGCAAAAACCCTAACCCTAACCCTAAGTCATAAAGTATAACCTTAGGTATCACGAAGTGTGTTAAGGTTAGGGTTAGGGTTAGGGTTACTGGTTAGGGTTAGGGTTAGGGTTAGGGTTAGGGTTAGGGTTAGGGTTTTTGCATCATTTCTTGATATACAGAAAGTCTGTGCATCACTTCGTGATACATAAGGTGCCTAAAGTGGATTTGCACCAATCAAGTAAGGTCTGGAATCGATAACTCGCTACCACTATGTTATTGTCATTTCCTAGCTAGGTATATAACTGCATGAAACCTACAACTTGGGTTGACACCAACTGCAGACAGTCGCAAAAAACACCCAAAGTGCTAACTGCATGGTAATTCTGCGCAATTATTGCAAAATGCCCGTTTTCAGAAAAATATCATCAGAAGTCATGAAGTGATAAATCTGAAATGTCATAACTTTTGGTGTGAGCTAGGTGTAGTGCAAAAGTTAGAACATTTTAGACTAATTATAATCAACAATGTATGATAATTTTGGCATGCAGGTCGCTGCCTGTTGTTGCTGTTGTTGCTGCTGTTGTTGTTGTTGTTGTTGGTCGTCATTGTTGTTGTTGTTGTTGTGTTGTTTCCATTTCACTAGGCTGGCCTATGTGTGGTTTGGCTCCAAATCTTGAAAAAAACTAAACGGTGTGTTTGGCAAACGGCAAAGCTACGATATCCTAGATCCCATGCAGGCACACAGACATAGATGGATGCAGGGAAGGAATAGATGGC